AGTAAGTATTATGATATAGTTCATTACATTATGTGGTGTTAGTAGTTACCTTAAAATCCATATGTTTATATTAAGAATGACTCATTCTTTCGTATTAATGCATAATCTTTAATATTTATGAATACGATAGAGTACTTATCTCTATGCATTTTATAGACTTAAATAAGTCCATCGTTTGCCTCTAACGTATAAGTGCAACTACCAGTCGTACAACTTGGTGGACAAGTAATGATTTTGAAAGAATGCTGTTGAAGTTAGATATAATGAAAATGTAACGCTTGTTCTGATCGATATTGAAAGATAATTGCATGTCTCTTTCTTCTTTGGGTAAAAAGAATCATGTAAAATTCAAAAAGTCCTTTTCTTCACATCATAGTGTGAAGACATCATACATATGATATCTTGCAGTACTTCAAAAAATTTTATGATGTAGGCAGAACCACCATGAACCCCATTTTTTAGAATAAAGAATCTGTAGCTCAGAGTGGCCAAGTGACTTGCCCAAGCTTGCTGAGCCCCAAGGAGGAGTGTCAAGTTCAGCCTGGTAACGCCTTTGTGTCCCTAGCCCAGTTCTCTGTACTTACCTAACATCATCTGTTTGGGAAACTCATACGTTAATAAAATAGGATTTTACTGTAGACTCTGCCATAGGCAGCTCTCATATTTAACATATTGGTTGTTATTTTACTTGGGTGGCAGTTACTTAATTTCCCTCCTTTTTCTTCCACGTGGTATTAATTCAAAGTGAAATGGGGCCAGTTAAGGAGGAAGACGGAACGTTGTAGGACAACCCTCTGTTGCCTTGTTTTCTTTGTGTGTGTGTGTGTGTGTGTGTGTGTGTGTGTGTGTGTTTGTTTTACCAGATTTCACACCTGCCAGTGTGCAGAGCTTAGGGTTTAATATTACTTTCAAGGCTCTCCTGTTGCCATTGAATTTTGGAGTTGACATCAAGTTGTTGGTGGATCACCTGTTCTGGGGGTTCCAGCTGTGTTCCCCGACCTCTGTTAGTCTACAAAGTGGAAAACTTACATCCCTGCAGCTGTCTGTAAGATATGTTTTAGTAAAGCAAACTGTGTGTTATACTTGATAAGATGCCTCCCCACACCAACACCAACTACATTGTAACTCTTTCAACTCCGTGTGGTGACAATCAGAAAAAAAATACAAGGGCATTTTGAGGGCAAAGAGTTGGAAACTATTGATATAAAGTAACTTACTTATTTTAAGCTTGTGAAAACAGAGGCTGAGAGAGGTCCGGTGTCTTAGTCAAGGCCACCGATTTAATAGTTTGTAAATATTATCAAGAAAGAATAGGAGCATGTGACACAAACAATAACATGTCTCAGGGATTCTTTGTATGCTGGTGAGTAACTCTCCCAGAACATAGCTTGTTTCCTTTAGAGCAACTTAGCATTTGTGGAAGTGGTGTTGGTCTTTTTACATTGGGACATTTTAGTAAATTGCTTCATACACAGACCAAAAGGTACCCTGGAAGCCAGAAATAGAAAATGCAGAATCCCTAAATAGGGAAGCATGTTGTGAATCAGGGAAACGTGGCCGCTCACCACCACGTCAGCAGTGTGTCCTGAAGAGGCAGAAGAGTGAAGATTTGGCAAATATTTAAGATCATGTACTTACCTGTTAAAGAAAAGAAAAAAGAAAATTCTTGGGATAATTTGAATCGAAAGACCTCCATCCTCTGGCAAAGTTTAAGTCCTTGCTCTTTTAGGTAGGTCCAGCCTGGGCCGTTGGCCCAGTGACTATGAGTCAGGGGGCATTTTCAGGCGCCGCTTTATGTGTCTTTAAGATGCATTATTCTACAAGTGAAATATCATATACTCCCCATTATGAATAAGTACATTAACAGTTTCCTAAGAAATGAGTCATTAACCTATGTAATGATGAGTTTATTTGAAAACTAACCAATTTAGAATTTGCCTAAGGACCAGTGAGTAACTAATCAGTTGATGCTAGGTGGTTATCTTCTGGGGAGTTGAGATTTTTATATGAAGAGAAATGGTTTTCGTACAAATTTAATTTGACAGAAGGTGCCACCTTTCCAATGAAGTGACTATAACCTCACTTTCAAAAGCATAAAGGAATACATTAGTAAACGCATAAAAATTCATAAGATATCCATGTTTCTAAAAAGGTAGTAGGTGAATATGTGACTCCGTGCTCCTGTGGGTGACCCAGTATTTTGTTTGCATGAGCTGAGAGTCTCTTCAGCACCCTAGAAGGGAATGCTTCCTTCCTGGCAGGTGGCAGCCTGGGAGCCAGCGCCCGACACCTGAGCACGCAGTCCAGCAGACGGCAGGCTGGTGGTCGGAGACTGCCTCACGGGACACACAACGTAGGGAATGCTTTTTCTATCCAGGATGAATGGCGTGATGAGACTTCTTTCAGGTTAAGAAGAAAGTCGAGGTCAGAATGCCCTGTCTTGCAGTACTGGGTTTTCTAACTAACTTAGAAAAACTAACAGGAGTAAAGATTCTGATGTGCTGTGCAGGTAGTCTTCATAAATAGACTCAAAAATCAACCAGAGCGAGGTTTGAATCCTTCTGTGAATGCTGCCTTCTCGCAAGGACCTGGCGAGTGCGTGTTCACCTGTATTGCCCAGTGCCGTGAAGCCACTGGAAATGGGGACTGAAGGCAGGGACCATCTGATCCCATAGACTCCCAGCTCTGTGTGAGAAGCCACCCGTGGTCCCATCATCTGAGTTACACCAGCCTTGGCCACCAACCACCGTGCCAGGGCCCGGCTCAGGGCGGCAGGGGAGGGAGGAGGCTTCTCTGCCATCCTTTCTTTGTTTGGGACTAAAGATGCCCCCAGTGGATGGGCGGATGAGGAGACTTGTGAAGCGAGGAGGAAAGTTTTGGAAATAGGCCAGGATATCCTTACTAAGTTTAAAGACCATGCGAATAGTGCTTTAGAAATTGCAGGCAGTGAGCAGGATTAGACAAGTCATGAACTGTAGTGTGTCGAGCAGCTTGTTTTTGTTTGAAGGGGTCAGAAATGGAGGTTCTGGGCCCCTGGTGTGCCGTGGACTTGGCAGAGTCCTGAACTTCCTGGACAACAGCAGTTCCTGGAAAAGGAGATTGTGGTGGGCAGTGTTTCACAGCACACCTTGGTACATTTTCTAAAAAATAAGTTACTAAAGCGATTTACTTCTGTTTTATTATCATATGATAGTGGATAATTCATTTTTCTTTTCTTCCTGCATAAAAGTGACCTAAAATAACACTTAACATATGGAACTGAAACAGAAAACAAATCCATAAGCTACCCAAACCCTTTTCCAGTTACAGTTGTTACATGAGTTTGGTGAAACTTCTAGGAAGAACTTTTGTTACATTGTCAAGTACACGTCTAAGAAATGTACAGTTCAATCGAAAATATATTTATATAGGCTTTAGCAAAGTGTATTTGTTACAAGAATTCAAAATCTTTCTTTTTCCTTTAGAGTATTATAAATTGAGATGTGTAAGTTTATTTTAATTGCAGTCAGTTTTAGAAAACTAACTTTGATTTAGCTGATTGAGAAAACAAAAAAAGAAAAATTAAAACTTTAATAATGAACTATGTAGAGATACTAGACATGAAAACCGCCCAAAACCATTATAAATGTAAATTTGCAAGCGTTAATATTTTATTTGGATACGTTTTTTAAGTGGGAGTTTTCTCTTAAAGGTTGTGTAGCTTCCACATATGATGACGTTTTGGTATTTAGGGTCAGATTAAAATTGTAAGGATGCAGTAGAATCAGCTCACCTTGGTTCAGTTTTCCTTCTTACTATTATTTGCGGTTTAGTTTATCATTAGTGCTGGTTTATTAGTGGTCCTTGTTCCAAATGAAGTAGTCACTGCAATGAAATACCCACGTTTTCTTGGCATGGAGCATTTAATTAAGTCCTTAGAACAACTTTGGGTGATAAGCATTCTTCTTTGTGACTCTTGAGTTCCTCCAGTTCATTTGGAGAGTTCAGAATTCACTGGGTCTTCAGCCATTTCCAAAAAAGGCAGAACACAGTTGACATTTTAAGCCAATCCATTTATTGAGAGTTCAGTATGTGCCAACACAGGAGTAGATGTTCTGAGAGATACAGAGGAAATATGAAACAAGGTTTCTGTCCTCTAGGTGCCATTGTAGTCACCTTGGGCAGCATCCCACCAAGGGCTATTTTGGGGCAGCCACTCTGACCCTTTCAATAGGTGCCCACCCTTCAGGCATTCTTGGCCACAGAGAATGGGATGTCCCTGCTGCGACTGTGGGTGTCTTTGCCAGAGAATTCTGATGGGACCACTCAAACATTTCTATCCACCCCCCTCCACACACTTGGGTGCATCAGATGAGGTGTTGTTTTTGAAAAAGTTTCTTCTCTGAAGAACCACAGCTTTGCTTTTGCTGTCAGCGCAACTCCTTGATGTCAGCTTGCTGTGCGCTCTCAGCAGCTTCGTCTCTGAACTCTGCTGGCATTTCTTCTGTGCTCAGTCTTTGCTGTATATGGTAGTCTTCGAGAAACTGCCCAGTCGTTAGGATTTTGCTCTCCTTTTCCGACACTTTCTGATTCTTCTCAGCTTACCCTCACTGTTGCTTAGCAAAGAGACCCCCTCTTTAATCAGTGGGAAAGGAATTATTTTTTTGAACTCATCCTTTCTTTTCCTGACTGCTTCCTCTGCTTTCCTGGATACACTGTGAGAAAGTTTACGTTCAAAAGGTGTTTGGTACTGCTGCTTGCCTGCAACTGTGCCCTTCCCTAAAAATGTAAACATTTAGGTGCAGTTGAATAGTTTTTTGTGAATTAGCCACCAATACTTGATATAATCATAGTTCTTTTTTAATTTTATGCTTCCAAGGTGCTTTAAAAATTATCATTGTCCTAGGAACTTTCAGATAAGGTGGTGATTTCTCCAGACACACCTCCAGCAGACATGCTATATATATACGTAGGCGTATCAGAAGCCTTTTGTAAAATCCTTTATCCCATCCTTTTTACAGACATCCATGACCTATCCAGGAAAGCCCCCTTACCTTCCTGTGCAAAGGAGGCTTCCCTGCCACCGGCACCCCCCAGCGCTCAGAGTGCTGCCTGCTGCTCTGAAAACTCTCTGCTCTCGGCCCCCTGCCATCTGCCTCGGTGGCCAGGGTGGGTGGAGGAGGGAAACGCCACCTGGCCGGGCAGCTCTGTGTCACCAGCCCATCAGGCTGAGGTGGGAGTCTGTCGCAGGTGAGTTTCCTGTCGTAGTTACCTTTCACCACTTTTTACTCTTCTTTCCGGAAAAAAACAATAAGCAAAATAAAAAAACGACAGGAACTTCACTTACAGGCTGCTTGAGGAAGGTGGAAAGTCGGGGGGCAGGAGAGATGGTGGCAGAAAGGATGAGATCTCACTTTAATGTTTAAATTTAGACACTTGTTAAATTCCAACTTCTTTTTTTCATTACAAAGACAATGATTATTCCATGTGGAATACTTCAGAAATATTTCTTCCATTTGAACAATATTAAAGGACAGGCTAGAAAGAAAAGGGTTTGGTTTTTCAAGCTAAAAAGAAAAACAGAAGGTAGTAAGTCTTCAGTAAGCTTTCTGCTTTTGAAACCTAGGCAATAAACTTAATTGTGATGTGCGTTCAGGACACGAAGAATTGTAGGTGGTGCCAAATGCTCTAGAAGATGAAGCAGAGATGGGGAGAGGGAAAGGTGACATTTGAGCCACACAGCCTGAAGGTGGGAGGAAGCAATGGGGAGAATCCAAATAGGCAAAGAGGATAAACAGCAGTGCAAAGGCCCTGGGGCAGGAATTGCCTGGGGTGTTCAGAATAAGGAGCGCAGTGTGGCTGACAGAGAGTGGTTAGGGTGAGAGTAGCAGCTGAAGGAAAGAGGTAATGAGGGACCGGGGTGCATTGGGCCTGGCCAGCTGTCCTGTAGACTTTAGTTCATGTTGAATGGTGTGCAAGGAAAATATAGTCTCTAGGGAACAATATGTGGAGCATTTAAAAACTTTTATGCTAGAGCTATCTAATTCTGCTGTAATGTTCGTGGTATCCAAGGATGGTATTTTTTACTTGGTCAGGTATATGTCAACTCTTGAATTTCTTTCTCAAAGTAGTGTATAAAATTTGAAAAGACCTGGAAGTGTTCCAGTGGAGTGACGACACTGAGATGTCACTGAGGCTGGAGAAACCACTGGGACATGTTTACGAGATAAACAGCAAAATAAAAGTACAGGAGTTCAGGAATGACATGCTTTATGCTAAAAACTTATATGTATATAGCACCTTATAGTTTATAAAACATTTAAAAGGATAGGTTCTTGTTGTTACCCTTTTTTTTTTTTTTTTAATGAAAAACCTGAGGCCCAGAGACGATGAGCAGTGTGCCTGCCCAGCCATGGGCCTGGCCCCTGCTGTTGGAGGAACCTTCCCCAGTCTAGAGAGAGAGATGTGTTCCTGGTAGGCCTGTCGCCGCCTGAGTCTATATCTTCCAGGCAACACAGTGCCTTCATTAAAAAAGAAAGCCTCTCCGCCTCCAGCCAACGTCAGCTGAATCTGCTTGCTCTGAACTCCCCTTGGGGCCGGGCCCCCAGTGCAGTCGCTGCACTGTAGGCTGCTGATTGCAGGCTTGTGAAACAAACCCATTTCATTCTTCGGCTACTCTGGACACTAACATGATAGAAAGTAGCAAATTTACAGATAATTTATCATTCCATATGGTTCATAGAAATTCTGGCTTACCAGGAAAATGCTAATGGAGTGAATTTAGAGCCCAGGGTGTCAAAACTAGAGGACACTAGGGCCCCCTGTGTCAGAGGACCCTGATGTCTTCTTAGCCTGTTGGTATGGAAAACGCACGTTTATTAAAGGGACTCCAGCCAACTGTGCACAGTTATTTGTAGCTTGCATAATTTTAAAAATTTGTAGAGTGTTTAGGTCTATCTTTAGAATTTAGGCTGAATTTGACTTAGTCTTTCTGAAATATGTAGAAAAGTGATGGTATACATAAAATGCCTTAAAATTTATCTATTTGGGTAAGATAAGAATGAGGACCTCATCCTTTAGTTATTTGTGTCAACTGTATGTTGTTCCTTTGGAGTAGAAATTGTAAAATGGCCTCTTCTCTAAGGAAAATTGGGAAAATAACAATTATTTTATATGCGTTCATATATACTGAGTATGACAAAATTATACAACTGTTAATTTTTAAATGGTCAGATTGATTTCCTGGGATGAAATATTACTGAGTGATACTTTCCTGGAAGAGAATTTATAAAGTTTGCAATATATAGGCTATAATTATTGTATATTAAGTGTACATCTGCTGGATCCTGAATTTTGTCACTTTGATTACTAACGAGGTGGTTAGAAAGGTACATCTGTCTGAGATCCATTCTTAAAAGTCTTCAAGGACTCATACACAGCTTTGAGAAAGCTGGAAATGTGCCTGTGTAAATCTCTCACAGTCCAACTTGCTTTTAAAATAAGAAATGCTTTCTTTATAAGTAATTGATCATTTGTCCCCTTCCCACAGCAGTTTGGGAAATTGTATCTTTAAGTTGTAGGTATTTTGTTCTTTCTCAGAGCTTCCTTCTTGCTGGTGAAGAGGAAAGGTGGGAGGCGTGTCTGTGCCCAAGTCTCCTCCTGCTCCGGAGTGTCCCTCCCAGACAGTGTGGCTGTGCACTCAGCCCTGCAGGGTCTCCGGCCTGTGTCCCTGGGCCTGAGAGGCAGGAGCAGGGGGCTTGTCCTGACTCTGAACCTAATAGCTGGTCACCTGGGCAAGTCATCGCAGCCTGCTGGACCCTGCAGGAGGGGCTGGGGTCCGTGGCTTCCAGCCTGCCTGCTCATCTAAATTTCCCGAGGAGCCTTTGCAATGTCTGAGGCCGTTCCCTGACCCAGGCATCCTGGGATTTGGGTCCCCGGTGTGTGAAACTCCTCCCAGCCTATGAGCATTTGAAAATGTCTTCAAGATCCTTGCCATTTTAAGCTCTGCCAAGGCTAAAGAATTTATTCTTCAGAAAGTTTACTCTGCTTAGACTTCAGTTCAATGAGTAACATTATAGACACTTTGGCATTTGGGCTGAAAGGGCATGTACGGTAACTTAATATGACTTGTGCACTGTGTGAGTGCCCACTGGTCACCTGACGCTGGCGGCAGAACCAGCATGGGTGGGGGAGGGGAGGAGGACACACCGAGGTGGATTTCTGGTCTCCACTTCCCTATTCTCTTTTCTTTTTGAGTAAATGAACTTTACATAGTTGGTAACGTGGCACTTCCCATTTTTCATTACTGAAATTTCAATAAATAGTGCTTCATTTGTATGTGAATCTCTCTCATCAGTGGCAGAGGAATTTAAATGTCGACGTACATTTTAGTGCACCTTTTTATATAAACCAGAGAGAAAGGAAATGCTGTTCCCCCAGCCTGGACTCGCCAGAGCCCAGCCTGTCGGCGACCCACTGTACTCACTCGGCACGAGTGACATGGAGAGGGGTCCCTGCGTTCTCTGCTAGGCAGCTGCCTACATGGGGACGCTGGCAGCCTTTTTCTGGGCTTTTTGTCCCGTCCACAGGGCAGGAAGAAAGCAGCTAAGCAGAGGTGCTCTTTGCGGCGTGTGAGAACTATTAGCTTTAAATGGCCTAGAGTTACCCCAGAAAAACAATTCTACTTCTGTTCTGCTTCTATCCAATTAAAACAAGTTTATTCATTTTATTCCGGGAGCTGTTGGCCATTGTTTTTGTGCATTCATCAGTTGTTTATTTGCTGCCTGAAGTTGCAGTTGTTCGTGATGTCATTCATGGATATACTGTTGAACGAGCCAGAAAAGGGGGGTGGGAGGAGCCCGTCTTTGCCCGCAGCTCAGGCTGCCTGGTTTGAAGAAGTCTGTAGTTCAAAACACGGCAAGTGCTTACATGTATACATTATTTGAAGACGCACAAAGAAAGCAAAGGCAGTCCAGCCACAAGATGTGAGTCATACTAGTAGCATGTGCTTCTCTATGAATGAAAATAATCTGTACATATATTTTTTTTGTATTAATTATACATTCTGTACATAAGATCTCATTTGATAGTTTCACTGTGACCCCTCTGGGGAGTGTAGGGCAAGAGAGATAATGTCCTTGTGTTCATAAGTGGCAGCAGAGCTGGACAATGGTGGTCTCCGGCCAGCAGCCCTAGGATCGTGACTCTGGTGCGGCCACTCTTCCTTCTACACCTGCATCGTGTCAATGCAGGTGGGGATGGCTTGTGGTTTTGAGGCACAGAGATGGTTGCACAGTGCCATCCCTGAGCTCCCAGGGAATGGCAGCATGTTTTTGAGATGGTTAATTACGGGAATGGAAACTCCAACCTGTGCAAAGACAGCGTGCACTTTGGTTACTAAGTGGGTTTGACCCTTCAGCCTTGACTTACAAGTAGACCTCTTACAGTTAAAGGCTGTGTGCTCATTCGCATAAAGGCTTTTAAATTACATATATTCTTCCCCTGAAGAGACAAAGCTTAAATCCGAATTTATACAGCTATTATAGACTAGGAGAGAATTAACCTATAGTTATTTAAGTATTCAAAGGAAAAAAGGGGTCAGTTAAAATGATATATATCAACAGGCTATTTGGAGATGAATATATTATGAACTGTTATTCCACATTCCCTTAATTTGATAGGCAAAACATAATAATTGTGTTTTATAACTTCACAGATAAATAATATAAACATTTCTATAGTGTACATAAAATACATTTTTACCTCAGTAAAAAGATCCTATATACACAAACGTGTTTAATCTGAGAAAAGAATTACACTGTTCATTGGATATTTGCAGTTTTAATGCAAGTAATATCACTTGGCCCAAATATTCTTATTAGGGCAGAAGCGTAATGCTTATATTCACATTCTCAAATGATCCAAGAAAGAGAAAAGATTTGGACCCTTTGTGAATTGCAGATGTAATGTGTACAACTTTTCCTTACCTCTGTTAAAGTTGAGAGTACTAGTGTAAAATGTATTTAGTAATAATTACATTTATTCTGTACTTTTGTGTTATGCATGAAAAGCCAAGTAGAAGAGCCATAGCTAAGAGAAATTAATTGGAAAAGTGTGCTGGCATCATAAATGATTTTATGACTTGCGTCCTCATTTTCAGTGGGGTCTGTAACAGGATAGCGTGGGTTTTAGTAGATAGTATTGCATTTCTGAAGTACGTAACCTTGCAGATAATTTTCAAAGGGGTATCA